TATATATATATATATAGCAAACAATTGATATCATAAAAATCATAAAAAATAATATATTAATTAAGGCTTCTTTTGGGACAGCTTTTTTAATGCTTTCTAAATCATCATTATAGTACAAAATATTCTAGTTTTAAAATTTTTTGTACTTCAAAGATGTTTTAAAAAGCAATAAAAAAATCGTCCCAAACAAAGCCAAGGTTTCTTACTTTCTTACTACTTTTTTAATTTTTTATATTAAAAAACCGCTTCATAAAATAGTTAAGAAAACATTCACAAACAAAACCTAAATTATCATCAATCCAAATAAATCAACATATATAGTTACAATTTAATAGAATTGTACGCTCACAAAAACGCTAACGGATAATTTTATTTGGTAAAAAGACTAAAAAACGCCCAAATAGTTCTTTTATTTCCACGAATAATGATTGGTTGGTAATATTTAGTAAATATTATTTACAGCATATGAGCCCCCTCCCCCCCACGAAGAACTATTTTGTGTGGTGTGCGGAGGGCGTCTAGAGATCAATAAAAATATGCCATGCCACCTTATTGGTAGATACTCAGCTCGGTACCGGCACTCGGTACCACTGGGTACCCAGTGCTTAACCGGACAGTTCTTCCGTCCGGTCTCCGTACATAATAAAAGCTCCCAACGGCCCGACATATCGGACAATGATTTTGGTCAATCAAATCGGACGAAACAACGACACTGAAAGCCAGAATAAAGAAGTTCAAAAACGCTTTGGAATGCATCTCTTATCTGCAAACATTATCCAATTAAGGGAGTCTTAATTCAGACGATTATCTCAATGGAGAGATTCTCTAATGTTTAGGCTAAGAATCTTTGGCCTGTTCTGTGTTTCCTTCTGGTCCAATCCATTTGTCATTTACTCCCACCAAATATGGAGGATCATTTCAAACAAAATATCATCTTATCCTCTCAATACAATTTGATTCATCTTAGCTGTATAGCTTACCCAATCAGTTCCCACTACTCACAGTGTCCTTCCAATTCAAAACTTCTGGTTTTAGCTCACAAATCCAGAAAGATAAGTGCTTAATTCATCTCCTAATCATATTAAAAATAAGCTAGTGGAGGCAAGATAACCAAAACCAGTGGAAGGATAACTGTTAGTCACTAATAGTTGTGTTAATATTTGACTCGACCCAAAAATTCGATCCGAATCCGAACCGAGTCGGGTTAGGGTTTGAAATTTTGATCCATTTGTAAAATTGGGTTTGGTTCGGGTTGATCCGACCCATTTCTTAATTAATTTAGGAGGGTTTTTAAAGATTGTTATGAAAAAAGTATATTCTGTTTCCAAAAAATAATAAACCATGTTGTCCAAATTGAATTAAACTTGGTTTATTTTAAATTGATTGAAGTAAATCTTATCTTAATTTGATTTTGATTTAAATAAATCGAATTAAATATTTTTTTTTTTGTAAAATATCCCCGAAGCGGGTCGGGTTCGGGTTGACCTGGATCTGAAGCGGGTCAGGTTTGGATAAGGTAGAACAGTGTCAGGTTAGTACCGGGTTGAACCCGAACCCCTCCCATGACCCGATTTTGACAATCTTAGTCAATAAAAACGTTTTAGAGAAAATAAATTTTTGAAAGTTGTTGTGGGTATTATATATCTAACACCTAAAATTTTAATATTGCATACATACAATTTATATTATTTTAATATCAAATATGCCACCTATATTTCATTCCCATCTCCCATATATTTTATTCATACCATCCATATTTGATATGAAGTGTACTGCGTAAAATGTATGTAATATTAAAGTTTTAAATATTATATATGTAAATAGAATAGTACATAATGGCATGCATGTAAATTCACCAATTTTTTTAGTTGGTTTTGTAATGTTATCACACATTAGCAAATCTAGCCGTAAAAAATAGTTTTATATCACATAACTTTCTAAAAAAATGTAAGAAATTAATAATCAAATGACGGTGTGGTTATGATTTGAAAAATAAAATTTATGAGTAAGACAGTCTAAAATATATCATAAGTAGGGGAGTCAATTTTTGACACGACCCAAAAACCCGACCTGAACCCGACCCAAAAAATCCGGGGTCGGATCAACCAGTTTGTTAAACGGATCGGGTCTGGGTTCGGATTTTTGACCCATTTTGAAAAACGGGTCGGGTTCGGGTTGACCCGATAACCCGCGGGTCGACCCGTTTAACCTGGATCTAGCATGAAGTAACCCGGTTTCCAACCCTATCTCTAGCAGGAGTTTCGCTGTCTCGGGTTAACAAGTCAAGCCCCGCCTCCACCGGCGATGACCCACCCCACCTCCGACGGTCCAGCCTACGGCAGGACCCGCCTCCGCCAGGCTCCAATTGACCCGCCAGGAGCCCAAGATGCGTCGACGCCCAGGCCCTATGCTCTCAGTCGACCGCCTTGTCGCCATTCGCCCACGACGATGCCTAGCCAAATCGCCATTCACCCACGACGACGCCCAGCCAAGTCTCCATTTGCCCTTATTTCGCGGCTCACAACTGCGCTTGCGGGTTTGCGGGTCGGGTTGGGTCAACCCGGCAACTTGTGCGGGTCGGGTTTGGGTCATGATTTTTTACCATTTAGCTAAACGTGTCGGGTTCGGATCAACCCGTTTATAACTGGGTCAAGTCGGGTTCGACCCGAACCCGACCCGTTGACCCGAATTGACACCTCTAATCATAAGTCATAACACATAAAAATTGGATATTAAATTTTTACTATATTTATAAATATTGTGGATAACGTTATTGACATTTTCATTTATTGGAATAATTACCTAACTAATAAAATTTTAGGAAATAAAGGCGTGTTGGGTGGTTCGTTTGGATTGTGGATAAGTTTCAAACGCCCCGTTCTACTTTTTAAATAGGTTTTTTCTTCTCGTTTGCTTCCACCGCCAATGATTTTTAATTTCATTTTAAATTTAAAATATTTATTTTCGCCTCCTTCGCTCTTCGTTCCCACGCAAAGTGGCCCACCTTCTTTACCCCCTATATATAACAACCCTAGCCAATTTGCATTTTCAAATCAAACGAGTAGTCAAGAATTTTCGAAACGATATGGCGACAACCTCCAAGGTCTCTAGCATAACGCCCGGGGCAAATCATTCGCCGGCGGCGGGCTCTTCGCCGCTTCTTCCAAGAGATGCATCTCTCGCCGCGGCTTACGAGCGTTACCTCCGGCTTTCAGATCTCGCCAGGCTCTGGAATTCAAGGGATTTCCCCCAGTGGAGGAGCGAATCCGTGCTCAAGCCGGCGATTCAAGCCCTTGAGATCACTTTCCGGTTAATCTCCATCGAGCTATCCGATCCCCGGCCGTACGCGAACCATAGGGAATGGAGTCGCCGGCTGGAATCGCTCGCGGCTTTGGAGATTGAGATTATTGGAAATTTATGCGAAGAGGATGGTGGTGGCGGTGCTCCGGTCGTGGATTTGCGGTCGAGTGCTGGGGTTTTGGCCCGAGATCGGAGCTCGCAGGAGGTGTGGCAGTTACCCGGAGGCGCCGGACCCGTCGTGAGCCGGTCGAGCGAGGAGAGCCTTCTCCCTCGCCTAGCCGCGTGGGAGAAGTCTAAGAACATCGCTGGTAAGATCCAGTTCCAGATCGAGAGCCGGATGCAGGGGAGTCCATTCACGTTAGGGTTGGGCGAGCCGAACCTCGCTGGAAAACCCATATTGGAGTACGATCTCGTCGTCCGACCTTCCGACCTACATTCCCTGAAGAAGACTCCCTTTGAGAATCTCAACAATCACGAGAACCAGAAGCTCTTCAACATCCACCAGATCCTCGAGTCCTGGCTTGCGTCAGCGAAGGAACTCACGAGGCGGTTAGTGGATCGCATCGACTCTTCCGATTGGGCTGCAGCCGCTGGCGACTGCTGGCTCCTGGAGCGAATCTGGAAGCTCCTCGCGGAGATCACGGATCTGCATCTACTAATGGATCCGGACGATCTCCTCCGGCTCAGGGGTCAACTCGCGTTACGCACAAGCACAGGATCGGAGGCATTCTGTTTCCGATCAGCGGCGCTGCGAGAAGTCACCGCTGCTTCAGGCAAGGAATTGAAACGGAGGGTGCCGTGGGTGCTGGGCGCTGAGGCTGATCCGAGCGGGGGGCCGAGGTTACAGGAGGCGACGATGAGGCTATTTCATAGCCGGCGGCGAGGGGATGGCGGAAATCCTGGAAGAATTCAACTTTTGCAGGCATTTCAGGCGGTGGAGGCTGCGTTGAAGAGGTTCTACTATGGATACAGGCAGGTGTTGACGGCAGCGATGGGGAGCTTGGAGGCGACGGAATGCCGGCCCCTGGCTGTCTCGCCGGAGTCCGGCGATTCATTGTCGCAGATGTTTTTGGAGCCGGCTTACTTCCCCAGTCTGGATGCCGCGAAAACGTTTCTGGGAGAGCTATGGCAGAATGAGCACCGACGCAGCAGCAGCGGTAGATCGGACGGTAGGTGTGGGACGAGGTAATAAGGTCCAACGGTGGATTGGTGGTTTGGAGGATGAATTAGTACGACGAGTAATGTCGGATTCGATCGGATGCATTTGATTGCGTGTTATAATTTTGAATGTTTTAGCTTTGGCATTGGGGTTAGGGTATGATTTATACTTTGTTTAAATTTATTATTCAATTTTGGTTATTTTTACATTATATGTAAATTTTCAATAAATTAGTTTATTGTCATTTCAATTGATCTTGATTAATGGTGGTTGAATAAGGATTCAAATGAGCCTGAATTGAAGCAATCAATCTCCAAATGAAGTATCTAAGGATGAGTTTTCTAAATGAATTGCAGAAGATTTAGTTGAGTTTTGGCATTGAAATTGATTGAACTAGAGAGTTTGAATTAGGCTTCATTTGAGATATTTTTTTCATTATTTTGTAAAGTAGTTTTTTATATAAAAATTAATTTTTTTATTAAAAAATTGTTTTAAGAAATAATAAAAAACTGCCTCTAATCATATTTGTTCCTTTCCTTGCAAGTTTAAGGATGTTATTAGATTGCTCTATCTCCCTACACCTCCGCATTTGTATCGGTTATCAATTATCGGCTACATCATTACTTGGGTTTTTATTGATGCGTCATTGTTTATTAGTTGTATTATTAATGTTGAGATGTTATTGAATTTTGATTTAGTGTAATTAATTGTATGTATGTTGTTAATAGTTTATATAGCTCTATTAATAATTTAATATACATAACTATAATTATATTCAGTGATGTCACCAAAAAAATAATTTAATTAAGAAAAAAATTTAATTCAAATTTTAGGATTTATACAAACTAATCATTTAAACTTTATTTTCAATAAATTTATAATCTAAATTTGATCTGACAAGACATGCCCAACAATATGAAGAATATCTTGATCTTAGTCAAAATATGCTTAAATCTTACACTAATAAATATATTTGGAAACTTTATTAGAGCATTTAAGAGATCAAATAACCTATGAATTTTGCATAAACCTAAATGAATATGTCTGAGCTCAAGATAACTTATTTAGACCAAATTTTTTTCTCAAGAGGATTATTAGATATCCTAAGAATGGTACCCATAATTTCTATTTCCTGGTATTGCTTCTGCATATTTCCTCGATTTCTTCTTGCAGAGTTTTTATGTTTATCGATGTGATTCGTATTTTAATTATACATGATTAGTGAGTTCTAAGTTCTTTTTAAGGTTTAGGTGTGAATGATGTCGCCAAGCACTCTCGTCAGCCACATATTACCCTAATTGTTTTCATTTTGTTTCTCGTCAGCACTGAATAACACTAAGACGTTAAACTTTATATTTCTCTACCTCCGATTTTCGATTTTCGTACAACGCTAAGAAGTTAAACTTTATATTTCTCTACCACCGCGAATACTCTAGGACGCAATAATACTTTACATATTATTAAAATATTAGTATTTTATATAAACAAATAAAAAAGTTAAATATTAGGTAATGTCCATACGTTAATGTTTTTGTTCTGGGTAGCCTCTCTGCTTTACTTATTTAAAGCCTATCAAACTTTGACCCCGCCCACGACACTGACGATCAAACATCCGATCGCGTCATCCAATCTAGAAGGAGTTGGAAGTCCACCAGAATTCCTCCCGTCGACCAACCGAGGCCGTTTTTACTCGTTTATATCCTTTGATCCGCACTGCAAGAAAAGTAAACAGGTGAACGAATACTTGTTTTTGAATCGGAGGAGCTGATGGCAGCGAAGGGTTCAGGCGAGGAACCGGCGATTGGGGTGCCCTACCCCTACGCCTCAGCTGGCGGTGCTGGGGTCGCCGACTATGCCCAAGGTCCGGCTCCCCAGCCTGTGTTCTACGGGACGCAGCACCCGCATCAAGATGGGATGATCTCGCCGAATGCGGTTTTTGGAGATCCAAAGGGCATTCCGCTCCAGCAGACGATGTTCAGGGATACCCCTGCGCCATTCGAGTGCGTTTACTGTGGATCATCCAGTCTCACCACCGTCAGGTCCTTTACCCCTTCCGGACCCTAATTTGTTCTTCCGATTCTGACTCGTGTTTTCTTTATCTTGATTTTATTTAGGCGATTATCCGTAAAATTATGCTCTTTGGTTATAGGAGCTAGGGTGTTTGGTTCTGCGATCTTTATAATGTTATATTATTTGTAGGTATCAGCGATTTAGTTTTATCTGCTTTTGTTACTGTAGCCTAATTAAAGAGATCCCTATACATCTAAAGCAAGAAGACAGGCAGAGAAGGACTTTCCATTTCAATGAAACAAAATTCTGCACATCTATTTAATGTACAACAGGCTATATTTATAGAGCTATAGTTACACATGTGATGATATGATAGGTGGAGTGCATTCTATCCTTATTCCTTTTAGCCGTACTATTTGAGATAGCTGCCTTTCTTGAACTTTGTTGTTGAGCTGTCATTATTCCTCCGCAAAATTGACGATGGTGATTGAATCGTTAGTTTGGATCACAACAATTGAAATCTTGAAGTAGAGAGAGGTTTGGTTAGAATATCTGCAATTTGATCAGTTGTGCTGATTGGAACGATGGTAATTTCGCCAGATTGAATATGATCTCTTATAAAATAGCATTCTCCTTAGATGTGCTTCGTGCGAGCATGAAAAACCGGATTGTGGGTAAAGGCGATGGCCGATGTGTTGTTGCAGTGGATGACAGTTGAGTCGATAGAGGAGATGTGAAAGTCTGAGAGAAGGCGTCAAAGCCAAATTTCATCTACTGCTGCTGCGACCAATGGTCTGTATTCTGCTTCTATAGAGGAGCGCACAACAATTTGTTGCTTCTTCACTGTCCATGAGATAAGAGTGTTGCCGAGGTATGTACAATATCTGGAGGTGGAGCGGCAGGTAGCAGGATCAGTGGCACAATCGGCGTCGGCAAAAGGCAGTGAGGTGGAGATTGGATTTGAAGATGGGAAGACTAATGTCTGTAATACCTTGAAGATATATGAGGAGGTGTTTTAATAGAAGAAAATGCTGGGAAAGAGGAGAATGCATTTGTTGACAAAATGTATTGACCACGAAGGCAATATCGGGACGAGTTATCGTAGCATATTGCAGCGAGCCAGTTAGCTGGTGGTAGATGACTGGATCGGAGGAGAGAATGTTCGTGGGAATTGTGGTGGAGAGTTGGTGTATGATGGATTGGAGATAAGATTGCAATTAGTGAGTCCTGCTTGGTGGAGAATGTTGTTAATGTATGAAGTTCAAGAGAGATGAAGATGATTGTTATGAGTGGTAATTTGGAGAGCCGAGATGTTTTATTGAGAATTGGCTGTTAAGAGAAGAAATGAGTTGTAGTAGAAATTGAGGATTGGTCCCAATTAAAAGAATGTCATCCACGTAGATTAGGAGATAAGTTTGAATATTATCTTGGTGGACAATGAAGAGAGAGGGATTGGATGGGCTGTGATGGAAGCCGAGGGACAGTGGATGAACGAAGAGAGTTTTGAACCACTGTCGAGGGGCTTGCTTGAGGCCGTAAAGAGATTTTGTAGAAGGCAAACATGATGAGGAAATTAAGTGTCTTCGAAGCCTCGAGGTTGTTTCATGTATACAGTTTCTTGGAGGGAGTCGTAGAAGAAAGCGTTAGCGACATCAAGCTAGTGTATGAACCATGAATTGGTGACGACAAGGGTAAGAAGGATGCAAATAGTGGGGAATTTGACGATATGACTAAATTTTTTTTTGTAGTTGAGACCGTACTCTTGACGATGCCCTTGAGCAATGAGTCTGGCCTTATATATGGTAATGGATCCGTTGGCATGTCGTTTGGTTTTGTAGTTCCAACGACAGCCTAGGATGAGAGCATTGGTTGGAGGAGGAACAAAGTGCCATGTTCCTTGTTTTTGAAGGGCCAGAAATTCATTAACCATAGCAGTGCGTCAATGAAAGTGTTGAGAAGCTTTGGTTTAGGAGGATGAATCCAAATTTGTTGGAGTAGTGGAGTGATTGAGGTTAAATATTTGTTTAGGTTTGAGAGAGCCAGTCTTGAGTCGGTGAGCATGGGATGAGAGGAGGGTAGAGTGTCTAGCAAAGGAATGAGTTGGGTATGAGAATCTGTTGGTGGAGAGGATGAGATGTGGGAGAGCTGTATATGCGATCGGAGAGCGGTTCAAGACATTCGTAGCCTTTATATGATGAATCATAACCAAGGAACACCAATTTTGGGGATTTGAGAGAGAGTTTGTGACAAGCATTTGGTGGTAGGAGGCGGTAACATGCACATCCAAAGACATGAAGGTGGGAGTATTGAGGAGGCTTTTTGTAGAATAATTGATTGGGAAATTTGTTTGAGGTGATAGAGGATGGCATTAGGTTGATAAGATACACTGCTGTAAGAAGGGTGTCAAGCCAGAAGTGAAGAGGGAGACTGACAATATGAAGTAAGGTGCAAGTGGCCTCCATGTGTCGATGTTTTCAATCTGCGAGACCATTTTGCTCGGGAGTGTAAGGGCACCTGATTTGATGATTAATGCCATGTATTTTGAGATAGTTTTGGATCCTGTGGTTTAGGAATTCGGTGCCACCATCACTGCGAATGTGTTTGATAGTTAAAGAGAATTGTTTCTCAACAACAGAATGAAAAGTGGTGAAAATTGAGAAGACATCTGATTTAACATCAGAGGAAACCCACATAAATCTAGTAGAATCATTCACCAACAAGATATAGTATTTAAAGTTTTGATTAGAAATAATTGGAGAGGGACCCCATAAATCTATATGAATAAACTCTAAAAGTTTATAGTTGTGAGCTAGAGATTTATATAAGGGTATTTTATGGCCTTTAGAGGCATTACATGAAGAGCAGGAGGTAGAAGTAGGTATGGCTAGATCTCGATTATGCTTGGCTATGGTGGACAAGACTTGCTGGTGAGGATGTCCAAGCCTATGGTGCCAGTGGATGGAGGATAGAGTTGTAGCTGAAAGAGCTTGATGATGGCCTTGATGAGTGGAGAAGCGGTAGAGACCTTCACGATATGGACCGGAGAGGATTGTATGATTGGTCTGAGGATCCTTTTTATGAAAATCATGGGCGTCAAAAAGGATTGAAAGATTATTATCTTTGGTTAGCGATGAAATAGATAAGAGATTGCGAGCTAGATTAGGGAGATGACGTAAATTTAAAAGAGAGATCTTACGAGTTGGAGTAGGTAAAAGGCCTTGGCTTGAGTGAGCGATAGGAATAGTTCTGCCATCTCCGATTGGGACACTATCTTGGCCGCTATATTCTAATGGCTGAAGAATGTTGTCAAGATTGTTGGTAAGATACGAGGATGCGCCGAAATCAATGATCTAGTCGGTGGTGGGGTTCGAGTTGGAGGCCAGAAGAGCAGTTGAGGGTGTCGTGTAATTGGCATTGAATCTATACCAATAGCTGTTGGCAATGTGCCCCCTTTTTTCACATATATGATAGTTGATTGTGTCGGTGGATGGTGTAGGAGTTGATGATGACCTGGATTGGTTCCCAGAGTTGGAGCATCTGCGGTAAGAAGCATTGAAAAACAATGGGGAGAAGCAGCAGAGAAAAAACAATGGGAGATGCGAAAAATGGAGAGAGAACCTCCTTATCGGGCTGTGAGCCAATATGGCTCTGATACCATAAAGAGATCCCTATACATCTAAAGCAAGAAGACAGGCAGAGAAGGACTTTCCATTTCAATGAAACAAAAATTCTGCATATCTATTTATTGTACAACAGGATATATTTATAGAGCTATAGTTACACCTGTGATGATATGATAGGTGGAGTTTGTTGGGTAATGCATTCTGTCCTTTAGCCGTACTATTTGAGATAGCTGCCTTTCTTGAACTTTGTTGCTTAGCTGTTATTACTAATCCTGTCGACAACTATGTATCTATTTGATGACTAAAATAATTAAAATAAAAAGAAGGATTATAATCTACGTTGATCATTTTAGTTAACGTAAAGTTATCTAAGCGAAATAAGTACACTTTATTTAATAGAGAATCCAGCTAATTGAATAGCTTTTTTTGTCATTAGTGATTTAGCTGATAAAGTTTGGGGAGTCGAATCAACTGTGTTTCGGAGGTTTTTGTCTTTGTAGGAGATGGAGCTTCAAATAGTTTGCTTTTAGGGCGGCAAGAGCTATTGTGATTGCAATATGATTGGGTAAAGGCCCTTTCTTCTTTAAAAATATAAAAGTATTTTCCAAATTTTGGAAATTCAGCAAAAGAGTTAATTTGATGTCTATTGAGGATAATAATAGAAAAAACAGTTAAGATATTTTGGAATGTAAAACGAAGATAGAAGGCTAGTAATAATCCTTGCTATGTCATAAAAATTAGAAAATAAATTGGGATGTTTGGGCGTGTATTATTAGCTAATACCTTGCTTTAGCAGGTATAGAAAGCTTTAATCTATGGTATAGATGAATGGTTTGAACGAAACGTTTATTAGTTCCAAAAAAAATTATTTTTGGTATGAATCTCAATAAAACTTGTAAGCAACCAGGTCCTTGTATTTTAATAATCTATTAAGGTATTAAAGCTCTACTAAGTTGCCTCTTGCAGTAGAAAGCAAACAACTTTCAAAAAAAAAAAAAAAAGAACCAAAATATTATTCCCTCTCTTGTAACTCAAGTAGTCATAGGAGCATGCAGTACCACCATTGCATTGACATTAAGTACAACATTTAATTTTGTAAAGTCAACAACTAGGACATAACTACTACAACAACAACAATAACATCAAGCCTATATCCCACTATGTGGGGTCGGCTACATAAATCCTTTTTCTCCATTGTGCCCTGTTAAATGTTAAATTCTCATTTAAATCTAATAAAGAAAGATCATTTCTAATATTTTCTTAGCATAAGTCAAATCTAACACATCTATTTTCCTAACTGGTTCATCAGAAGGCTGTCATTTTATGTGACCAAATTATCTAAGGCGACTGTCTAATCTTATCTTCCACTGGAGCAACTCCAACCTTTTCACGTATATGCTTATTTTGTATCATGTCTCTAAGATTAAAGCCACTCATCCACTTGAACATACTCATCTGTGCAACACTTAATATTATGCTTCTCTTTTAATGGCCAACATTTTGCACCATAAAGCATTGCAGGTCTAACCACTATCTTATAGAATTTTCCCTTAAGTTTGGACAGACTTTTCTATCACACAACAAGCCTGATGCATTCCTTCAATTTAACCATTCAACTTGAATTCTATTAATAATATCTCCATCTATTTCACCATCACTCCCATCACTCTGAATGATAAACCCAAGATATCTAAAACGTGTACTCTTATTAATGATTTTATCACCCAAAATCATAATCCCCCCACAAGAACTATTATTACTAAAGTTACACTCTATATATTCAATTTTAGATCTACTCAAATGAAAGCCTTTAGAGTCTAAGGTTGACCTCCATAAAATCAACAACTAGGACATGCATATACAACAACAACAACAACAACATCAAGCCTTTATCCCACTACGTGGGGTCGGCTACATGAATCCTTTTTCTCCATTGTGTCCCATTAAAAGTCAAATTCTCGTTTAAATCTAATAAAGAAAGGTCATTCCTAATATTTTCTAACCAAGTCTTTTTAGGTCTACCCCTACCTTTCTTAACATAAGTCAAATCTAATACCTCTACTCTCCTAACCGGGTCATCAGAAGGCCGCCGCTTTATGTGACCAAACCATCTAAGGCGACTCTCTCTAATCTTATCTTCTACTGGAGCTACTCCAACCTTTTCATGTATATGCTCATTTCGTATCTTATCTCTAAGGGTAAAGTCACTCATCCACCTGAGCATCCTCATATATGCCACACTTAACTTAGTATTATGCTTCTCTTTTAATGGCCAACATTCGGCACCATAAAGCATTGCAGGCCTCACTACCATCTTATAGAATTTTCCCTTAAGTTTGAGGGGTACATTTCTATCACATAACAAGCCCGATGCAATTCTCCACTTCAACCATCCAACTTGAATTCTGCTGATAATATCCCCATCTATTTCACCATCACTCTAAACAATAGATCCAAGATATCTAAAACGTGTACTCTTATTAATAATATGATGTGTGTATGGGTAATAAAGAATATCATATAGTTTTGGAGGAGAGAAGGTATGGATAATTACAAAATGTGAAAAGTTGAAAAAAGCTTAATCATATACGTATTAGATTCCTTTAAAAAATAAATTATAGACCTTTATTAAATATATATAGATTTTAAATATAGCTTATCATTAAAAAAAATTGCTAGGAATGAGTTCATGTATCTATCAATTAATCATGCTCAATAAGGTACCTTCTATAGGTTTGTGAATCATGAAACAAACGTAGTGTTAGGTTGATTGATTTTGGAATAACATCAATTTTTATTTTTTCAATAGTTTTATTATCATTTTTGAAAATGTGTTGCATCTTTAGCAAGAATGAGTTGCTCAATTTTAGATTTCTTGATAAGTTTAACCTGCATTAATAGTAGAACAACTATGTGGACCATCAAATTATCAGGATTTAATCACTTTCATTCTTGTTTTGATAAAGAGATAAAGTTCAATTCAATTTAGCCGAAAAAAGCATTAGATGTTGAGCCAATCTCTTGAAACATAATTGGTAACTTAGATCACGATCTTCTTCTGAACAACCTAACAAATAATCCAAATGATTTGGCTACATCATTTTTTGGCTAGAATATGACACAATTGTCCATAACTCACATAAAAATTAGTGGACACATTGGAGTTGCTACCATGGTTTAAAATTGCGCAATAAGAGGCGCGCCTCAGCGCAATTTCGCCCCTTTAAGCCTCAAAGCCCACGCAATGAGTTCAGGATATGAGGCGTATGCCTCAAGTTTATTGAGGCAAGCCTCAAGGCGTGCCTCGCCTCACGGTTGAGAGTCGTCCGCCTCTAAAAATAAAAAAAGCTAATGTACATGCTCGGTACCGCTAAGTATCGCTAGGTACATGCTCGGTACCGAGCAATTACATGCTCGGTATCGCTCCGTACATGCTCGGTACCGCTGGACACATGCTCGGCACCGCTCGGTACATGCTCGGTATTTTTCCATATAAACAACTTACGAACTTTAAAAATAAATATAACTTCAAAATTACTCTTACATTAAAAATTTGTTGGGGCGCTGCCCCTGAAAACGCCCGCAGGGGCACTGCCCCTTGATCCTGCGACTTGACCGGGCAGGTCGAATCCCGCCAGGGGGCAGCGCCCCCTTGGACCCCTGGCAGATCGGTATATTTTTGTATTCATGTTGTCTTATTATTGAGATATTTTGATTTCACTTCATATCTTGTGCATTTTTATATTTTATATATTATTTATTTATTAGTATATACAAAATTTATCATTTTGTGTTTACGAAATTTTTTATTTTGAGGCTTACGTCTCGCCTCACGAACGAAAAATGCCTCAATATCCGATTACGCAATTTTAAACATTGGTTGCTACCATAGCTATCAAACCAACATGCTTTGATCGATCCATACAGCTCGACACGTCTCCAACAAAGAGTCACTTAAATCATTTAGAAGTAGAGTTAGGCAAACACCAATTGGTTTAGTGGAATCCATGACCCAGGTGATATTGTTCTCTCTATAATAATGGTGTTTCGTCAGCTATGACGCATATCAATTATTTAATACGATTAGAAACTCTAAAATTAGTTGCAGACACCTTTCTTATGAATCTGACTAAGTCTTATCATTTGTAATAAAACTTGAATAGGTTGTGCAAATACTTAGATTGCAATTTTCTTATCTAGTGATGAACCTTTAGAGGCTTATAAATTTGTATATAATGTAATCAAAAGGTTCTTCTTTTTGGATCTCTAAAATTCCAAGGTGGACTTTTCAATCTCAATTTGCTTTTTCAGGTCTTCGCCCAACTGAGCTTTCAAGTAAAGCAAAATCTTCCATCTTATCCATCCTCTCTCTCATTTATCTCTTCAAAGTATTTTTACTATCAATGAATATCTGACTTAGAAATGTTGATCAGGTGTTCACACTAACAGACATTGAATTTTTTACTTAAACTCAAACTCATGGTCAAGTATAAGTTGTGATTCAGATTTCATTATTGTTTCATGTAAATGTGAAAGTGTTATTTTTTTTAATTCATTTTTTAGCCTTAAATTCGAAGTCTGTTTGGGTTTCAATGTCAAGAACGTTGATTTGTTGTAGATCTCGTGTTATGAAACGTTCAAGAAACTTAGTTAATTTGTAATTTGATTAACAATATTACTTATTTGTTCATATTTGACATACAATGTTGTTTGATAATCCAATCAAGAATGCATTTTGTTGTTGATCTGTTAAATGATCCTAATACATAAACCATTTTCAATTTAATGGTACTTGTGCGGATAATGATATGAATATTGATGGTGGAGGCACTCAATAGGATTAGGACTATTCCTGTTGAGCTTCCTAAAATTGAAACGTAATATGATTATAGAGATATTGCTTTGGTCTGTTTTGAGATTTGCCAATCCAAATAAAAATTGAATCGAAACTTTCAAATTAAGATCAAATACTTGATCATCGGCAATTAAAAATGTTTTTGGAATTTTTATTCATTATCACCGTCATTGGCCTCATCCCAACTGTTTGTATTTATGAATCACCTGAAATTGTTGTTCTTTATGCCAAAAGATTTGTATCTCATCAAGTAGGAAAGAAGACCGGTAGATGATGACCTCTGGTTTATCTTTATTTTTTTTTTCCTTTTTCTATTTTCTTGTTTTGTTTGCTCTATCTATATTTTTAATTAGAAGCTCATGGGACTAGTCACAGGATGCATCTTCCTATGGGGATCCTAATAATATGAAGTGGATAGGTCGTTATTGTTTTTGTTGTTAAAATTTGAACGAGGTTTGATTATGGTCTCTTTTAAGTTGTTTATTTTGAATTTGAATTAAAGAGAGTTAAATATTTATAAGAAGGGGATAAAGTTGATTTTCAGAATTTGTTGGAGAATTGAAATTGAAGAGTTTTGAATGGATGGTGATTTTGGGTTTGAAATTAAAAAGGTTGATGAGGATTTTTAAGCAGGTCGCCGTTAGTGCTTATGATTTGTAGGGAAAAGTTTTAGACATAAAGAGAGGATTGGCTGTGACAGAATTGATGTGCATGAGAGATGATGGCTCAGAGTCTTGTTATCTAGTGATGATGGCTAATTTTAAGTATTGAGACATCTTATAATGTAAGCATATGATTTTGTGCATGCACGCTGCTATTCTACTAAATCTAGTACATATATATTGCAAGACTCTATAGTACATAATTTAAATTGAGTTACCCCGTTCTCTATGAAAAACTGTTTGTAAATGATTGATGAAGAACTCTTAAAGGCCCCGTGCGATCTGAAGTTGAAAGATAGGATATAAAAATAAAATGGGAATGAAATTGATAAAGGAATTAAATTGAAACTAATATTCACCCTTAGTTTGGGGGAAATTGAGTGAAAAGTATTATTTTTAATTTGATTGATCAGAAATTAGTTTTTTTAGTTTTTCTGGGGAGTAACATGAACCTCATAAATTTTTCTTTCTATTTTTTACTATGGTTGCGAAAGAAATTGCTGATGGATGAATGCCTTCGTTCTTATGTTCTAGTAAATCTTTTATTATTAATTATATTGAAACCAATCACTAAATATGAAATTGTTACATTCCCTCCAATTTCTTTTAAACATACAAAGCCAAAATTTCTCTTTGTTTTTGCTGTGATTTATTTCTCATATACCGTCAACTATTAAATTATGCTAGCCATGGAGAACACCGAATATTAGGCTCTTATGTGATGTAATAGTTATAGTTTAAAACTTCGTGCTCCTTTGAAATAAACTTTTTTTTTTTTTTCTGATTTCACTCTGAAATCATATTTCTCTCTCTCTCTCTCTCTCTCTCTCTCTCTCTCTCTCTCTCTCTTTCTTTGTGGTTTGCTGCAGATCTAAACCAAGCCTAGCTGCTCTTGTTGGTTGCATGATGCCATTTATGCTGGGAGTATGCTTTCTTTGCCCTTCTATGGACTGCCTCTGGCACAAGTATCACTATTGCCCAAATTGTAAAGAGAAGGTAAGAAATATGCTTTCATGTAGGACACCACCTTGTATATTGCTCGTCTTATCGGCTATATTTATTCGGACATTAATCTTTCTTGCGTTTTAGGTTGCCAGCTTTGAAAAATCTGATCCTTGCCTTGTGGTAGATCCAACAAATTGGACCGAGCCGAGTTATGCTATCCCCAGGTTGGTTTGAACTTTCTAAAGCTTTGCGAATTCACTTATAAATGTATGGTTGCCCTTCTAGGTTTGTAAATATTAAAGTCCGTGCTAGCTCCTACTTGCAAAAAATGTTATATATTGACTATTGTGATACCTTTCTGTTTTCGAATGGTAATTAGTCCCGACTTCGGGCACTGTTTTCTGTAAACACCTGTTTGGAAACTCTACAAATTAGTAAACAGCGGCCAATTGAATGCTATAGCATCTATGGATTTGAGGAATAGTTTGTTTGGAAAGTTGAAAATTCATTTTCCTAAGGATTTTTATTTGTTTATGCTGTAAAGTTTCATAATTATTAGTATATCACCTAATCATTTTAATTGTTTTAATGTATCACTCTAATGCACTAAATTCTTCTATAATAAAATAATTGGATGTTAAGGTGGTTTATAAGTGAGCTTTTAATACAATAGGGTGGTTTATTAATAATTATCAATAATTGGTTTTATAATAAATTGAAATAATTGTAGTTTAGTATTACTAATGATTTCATTAAGAGCTACTCAACTGCAGACTGAAGTACGTTTTGATGGATTGAACTGTTAAGTATTAAGGATTGAACTGTTAAGTATTAATTTCATTACCACGGTATTTATTTTGTGATATTGAATAAATATGATCTGTAACTATTATAAATATTGCAGTCCATCTCTCTCAAAGAAAATGGACATAACCAGGTATAGTGCTTTAAAATTAAATTATAGAAACAACTTATGTATATTGTTATCATCTCGCTCTCATTCATAGAATAGAGATTGTTCAAATCTAAAGCTTAAGATGGATACATATTTTTTCCCTTCTGAGAATTAAAATCCGTGCGATAAGCATCCTTCTTTGAAATCAAGATTGTTCTGAGATGAATTTCTTCCACCTCAAGTTGCGAATGATAAATTCTTGTTGTTCTTGCTTCTTGATATAAGGTGTCGGCACTGTATGAAATCATTCCAGCATTAAGGTTGGTGGATTTAAAATTTTTGGGCCATAAGCATTGTCTCTGATGGGTAAATTGGCTAAGAAATATAGTGGTCTTCTCTTGTTTTAAAGTTTTCCTATGGATATGTAATTCACTGATGAATTTGTTTATGAAGACATGTTGGTTCTTAGAGATTCTATGCTTAGTAAAGTTTAACGTTTGGAAATGGTCTGCATTAAAGATTATGCTTCAATATTATCTATTGATCAAGATCTATGAATTTGTTGGGGATTTTATCTCGCTAGCATGAATTTACTTCATATAGTTTATGTTTTGTTATTGCAAGTCAAGCTTAATGTGCATAAGAATCTATAATTGTTTCTTTGCACACATTCATAAGCATTTGACTGATCTTGATGATTGGAGAAATTCATATACTCTTTTGTGTTTTAATGCAAATGCAAAGTCAATGAGTTATAATCATACCTCTTCTCTTCTTTATTATTTACTTTGAATTCTTGCAATTAAAAAGAAGCGTTGCTATATATTTGGAAGGTTCTGTAAACATCACCTTCTTGTGAGGAATCACATGGTGCTGAAATATTCTTATGAGTTATAAAGTGCTGGAATTTTCTTGTAATGAATTATGTTGTGCTGAAATCTTATTGTGAAGAGTTGCAAAATGCTGAAATATTCTTTTAATGAGTTGCAAAGTGCTGAATTTTGTCTCTTATTCACTTTTGCCCATCTTCTTGCTTTCTTTTTCCATAGAAGTGAGGTTGTGCAATGTTTTTGTACATTCATGATTCAAGAGGAAGAGGGCTTGAAGTTGTATGTTATATATAGGAAAGTTGTTGGTTGCATGAATCATGGTTTATGATTGGAAGGTTTCTTGAACTGTTGATAGGGAATCAAGTTGCATCAATCCCAATTTCATTTGGCACAAGTGTTGAGTTGGAATGTGAAAAGTGTATATGTGCATTTAACAAATCTTGATTGTTGGAAGGTGATGTATGCATTGTCGTGTTTTCAACATTTCAAACATAAATGGTTTCATATTGGGGTTTGAGAAGGGAAGATGTAGAGAGGGGCTTTGCATGCAGTAAAGACTCCATAAAACTTTGAACAATCATTTGAACATACACTCGGGCTCAAATTCAAATATACTTAGCGTGGAAGACACTAAAATTGAACAAGACTTGGATTGCAGAGGACTTATATTTGAACTTGCATCCTGGACTCAAATTGAACATTAATGACTTGAGCAATTCGAACTCAAGCGAGTATTTGAGTTGGACTACAAGGGGCATAGAAATGAGCTTGCACATTGAGCTTATGAACTTGATCTGAACTGGGCTTGGAAGGGTTCAGACGTGAGTCCGATTTGAACATCGTTGGCCCCTCATATTCGACACCAATCAAATTACAATACCTCTTATGGATGTATTCAGTGTAGCACACAACGAATGCAAATGCCCGCTGGTGTCAGCAATCATCAGACTGAAGACAAATACATAGAGCTCGTACAAGCAGAAGGTGATTGATTGGCACATTAAGTGCAAATACCTACGATCCTTTGTAGGAGGCCCGCTGTATATTCGATACATGTTTGTGAAAAAAAAAGTGAAATATTTTCAACATATCACAAACATGTATGAGCACGGTGTAATAGACTCCTACGACAATCCCTACGAATGTCTGTTGATTGAAAAAGGCAACAATACCACTTGACAGAAGAAGATCCGTCCTTGCAAGTAAGTACAATCGCCGATATGGTACTGGTGCAAATGACTTTCCTACGGGCATTTTTAAAAGACCATACCAAATATGATCCGTCCCTACAAAATACAATCATCAAACCCACCTGAGATTGGTGAAAGGTGGATATGATACTGATGTCAATGGGTCTTCTACAAATACCTTCAGGAGGTCATAGTGGATACAACGGTCCCCTGCAAATGAATACTTGTGAGCAACAACAATGGGTATGTCGTAAGTACAACGAACCCTTGTGGACACAAGTACAAATATCATATACGACAGCGGTGATTGAGATGATGCAAATATGTTAGGAAGAAAATGATTTTGGCATCCACAAATATCAAAAATAACAAGTCTACTACACTAAAGACCCTAAAAGGGATTCTTCTCAAGGCAATGGCCACGGACTTCAGAAAGACCCGCCACCGGATCCGCAACATTCGTACTAGCGGACAAAAGGCATGTATAAGATCTCAAATGAAAAATTGTGTGCATCCAAATGACAATTACCTACACAACTACAACTATTTCAAGCTACCCCTGCACGTGCACCGTAGCTTATATACACATAGGTACACAAAGGGGTATATCAAATCAATGAAATTCCCAAACACCCGTATGGGCCCCGGCGAGCGTGTTATTGGTACACACGTGACGTCTAGGTATGCTGTGTGGGTCAATAAGTGAATTCTGGTTCGAACCTGATCCTTCTATACAGATCAATAGGAGTCTACAGGGTTCAAACTTTCAAACAAATACAAGGTTGTGACGACCGGTGATTTGTTTTAATACATTCATATTAGGCCTTCAAGGCCTATAATCAAAAGAATTCACTAAATAAAGGCATGAAGCCTACAAAATTCGATCCTCCTAAGCAAGTAAAATAGGAGTGGACAGGGTTCAAGCCATCGGATAAATATGCGGTCACAAAGTTGACCGGAATATTTATTTTGTACATTCATATTACGCCTTCAAGACCTTTAACAAAGAAATTTCACAAACAAAGGCACAAAGCCTACGAGAAACCCGATCCTCGACCAATAGCTTGGTCGAGTTGACAGGGTTCAATCAATAAAGAGAAAAGACCCCGAACACCCCGATGATGGCCATGTTGAACGATGATCTCAACCGGAGGGGTTCACAAATACTTTCAAATGCCTCATAAAAGTCCACTCAAAATCCAAAACACTACAAAGTCCAAAAATCCCAAAATCATCAAAATCCAAAAATATTAAAAATCGAAATCCAACTATCAACGCTTAAAACGAAATTCATCCACCTTCCGCAATAGTTTGCCGAGGTAGACAATTTCAAATATAACTTCAGCTCACAAAGAACCAAATGCATAGTCGAAAATATCACTAGGATCCATTCTTAAATAATCTCCTGCAAATAAGGACGTGGTACGTGTCCTCTAACCAGTGATTTTGCCGCCAAATGGCACCGCAGGATAAACGATTATGACCCGGGGCCCTCTGAACTGAGTGATTTTGCCGTTAAATGGCACCACGAAATACTGGTTATGACCAGAGCCAATACATTCCTTATTGGCATCAAATCCTTGAGATATGAATCAATAGGATATGATTGATAGGGCACAAAACCCTTTGTTTGCTAAGGTGGATTTGAATTTGTTCCCTTAGGCAAACATCCAATCCAGGTCTACAAGGTCCCTTTGGACGAAGCAACCCATGGCTGCCGACAAGGATCATTCTGTCAGGTTGGGTCGACTACCTCCTCTGACTAAGT